CAAGAGTAAAAGGGCTACAAACCTCGCTAATCCAACAAGACTTCTTTGTGATTAGCTTATGAAAGTAGAAGAAGGAGTTCCCGCATACCATACTCTAAGAGCTCCCTAGTCTCACTCTCAGTAGGTAAACCCCACTCCCAGTAGTGCACTCATTCCCTTCAGAGAAGACATTGGGCAAGGATAGGTTTCCATATTTTCTGATTCCACTTGCCCGGATCCAGCCAGGTTTTATTGGTCATGCCCCCTTCCCAAAAGTATGCGATAACTAAGATAAAAGAAATGGGCCAGTACATTCTTTGATTCACTCAAATACTAAACTGTACATACAATCACTTACACAAGGAAATAATATGTAAAGAATTGGCAGATTCTCTTATTTCAACTGACCTTGCACAGTTATTAAATAATACTTGATCTCCGGATCATTAAAATTCATATTTAACAATTGAGAACTAGGCCACACATATAGCACAAATAAATTAAGGCTTAAGTAGATACCTGATTAACAAATGTTCGTTGGAAAGGACTTTTCTCAGCGTTTAGCTGCCACAGTGGAGACAGAAATATATAACCATTAGCATAAGGCCCTTTTTACCAGAATAAGGAGATGAAGATAAACAGTTTTAACACCTTTTAAAGAAAAAAAAATAGCCAACCATCTATCAGAATAGGTATGCTGAGAGCACAAAACCAAAACCCACTCAGGACTTTAGAGATATTCAAAATCATTAGACATTTGGACATATTTTCATTCCCAAGATAAATCCCTTGCTATCAGAGCACCTAGTTCCATGAGAAACTATCTATTTCTTTTTGGAACTGAATAGATAGCATAAGATCTAATGCAATACTATGCAAAATCCAGAAAATGGGTTATTTCCAAATTATGGTTTCAATAGAGCAGAACCTTTCAGGCGGCAATGCAGTCCCACCCTTTAGGCCCTGGGCGGCAAGTTTGAATCATCTCCCAGTTATCACCTAGATACATACTCCTAAACTCATCCTTACATGCACGAAACCAGGAGATTCTAATTGCAGAACTGATATACATATTTCTTAAAGAACTTTTTCAGTATTGACAACTGATTCATAATAGAAGCATTTATTCGAGCAAAAGTAACAAATTTTTGCGTCTCATGCCAAATTAGTATAAAATCAGCAAAAAGACTTCCTTTTATTCACCTGGATTATAACCAACTCAGTTAATAGTGATTATATTTAGGTTAGCATGGTCCCAACTCTTAAAAACCCTCCATCCTAAATGATAGTAAAAAGGGTATCTTTAACAATGAACATTTAACAGTCATTATCAATATTTGGGATAAAATTGCAGAATAAAAAGTTTACCCTGCATGCATAATAAAATCAAAATTACTTGAATAAAAAAGTTGATAGAAAGTAATTTTAAATCCCAAACCAAACTTCCAGCTAATACTGCTGTTCTAATTAAGTTAGTATAACACCCACTAAAAAGCTGAGAGTCATTATCTATTCACAGTCCCTCAAAATTTGGCACAAAATTGCTCCTCTAAATAATTCAACTAACCCTATAACAAAAAGCCAATTATATTTTCTATTTCCAAATAGAGCAAGCTCATTGCAAATATTAAATGTCACTTTCCTTTATAGTGAAACTTAAAGCAAGGCCGAAAATTATACAGCATTACCTACGAAAGCATAAAGTACAACCTTCTTCAATAAGTTCAAAGCCAAGTCCTAAATACGCTCAAATTCCAAAATCTATCCAACAAAACCAGAAACCACCGTGTTATTATCAGAAACAAGAACTCCTTAATCAGAAAATCGTTACTAGTATAACTTCCTTGCTCTGAGTGTAGAGCCACTCGTATCTAACTAGATACAGCAATTCCAAAACTTCTCAAATCAAACAGAGGACTGAAACACGAAATTAATTCAGCCAAGACATCACATCCTCATCAAATTCAACCATCAAAATAAAACTGAACTAATGATCATATTCACACCGACTTCAACAAATTTTCCAATTGCAAGAATACAATAGCAACTAAAAAATCGAATAACAAACTCTTCCACTTCAATTGAACATAAAATTCAATACTTAAAAAGTGAAATTCCAATTCTAGTTAATGCCAAACAAAAAAATCAAAATCCTAGATTCTCCTTTGCAAGAATTATTCAAGAAACGCTTAAAACTAATGCAAAGTGAGTAAAAAAAGAGAATCGGATCTGAGTATAGAAAGACATACATCACGGAACTGGAGAAGACCCAGTTCACCGAGATAAGAAACGGCTCGGTGAGCGGACTCAACGGGAATAATGAGTTGAACAAGCGTCATTTTCTCCGACCGCATCAGATTCATCGGCGGCAAGTTATCTATGAACCTCTCCATTCTTTCCATTTTCTCTCTCTCTTTCTGAAGAATCAAACGGAAATAAATGAAATTTGGATCTGAGTTTTCAGATCTGAGACAATTTTTATTATTATTTTTTCTTTTTGGGATCTACGAGAGACCGAGTGCGTTTGCTTTCAGTTACCCCGTCGCAACTGTCATTGAAATTTCGGAATTCTCAGAATCGGGAAATTCGATTTTCTATTTTTCAAGTGGAATTAAATAAAAATACAAAAAAAAACTTTTTTAGGCCAGTCCAGCAAGGACAATGCTGGCTGGGCCCAGTAAAGCAATTGAATTTTGTGATGGTTCATATGGTGATTTGATTAAACCCAATTATGATGTTTAATTAAGTTGCTTTGGTTTTTATCAAAAACAACTTGGTTCCATTCTTCATTTATGCGTTAATTTAACAATTTTATATATGATAAAAAATAGTATAAAAATATAAAAATTAATTGATTTAAAATTTTAATAAAAATTATATATTTTTATAAAAATAAAAAATAAATTTTATATTTTCATTTCTATATAAAATAAAATATTTTATTTTTTACACATATTTATCACAAAATAAATATGATATAAATACATAATTTTCAAATTTAAAGATGTTTATAATTGAATTTAAACCAAATTAATCGATTGAAGTAATTTTATTTAGTTAATCGATCGATTATTGAATTAATTTTATTGGTTATCAAAAATAATTTTAAAAAAACTTCAATTTTCAATTAATTCAGTTTAAAATTTGAATTAATTAAAATTTAAATCAAAATATTATAAAATTTATATATAAAACTAAAAATATATGAAATTATCCATTTCATTTCAAATTATTAGAGTTTTTAATTTAATATTTTAATATTTTTATTAGATAATTTTATTTAATTTATTTTACATATTAAAAAATAATAATTTAAAATATAATTTAACTTAATATATTTTATTATTTGATTAATTAAAAAAATTAATTAAATCGATCAAATTAATTTTTATCAATAAACTTTTTAAATTAAAAAATTCAGTTCAATTAATAAAAACAAAAAAATAATTCGATTCAAAATTAATTAAATCGATCGAACGAACATTTTTAGTCTAAGTCTAATATAACACAAATATGATACATAAATTGTTAGTATTTGTATGTATTATTGACTTAATCTAACCTTTAAAATACATACTGTATTTAAATATATATATATATTTGAGTAATTTTCTAATGAGTTATTGTCTTGATTTAGTATATCAAATTAATTTTATAATATTAAGTATAAATAATGCTTTTGATTTAGTTTCAAATTAAGTGATACCAACTTAAACGTGCATGTGGTTTTTTTTAAAGTAAACTAAAATGAGTATGCGTTATCTTTTAAACTTATTTATAAAGTTAAAAAAACTTAATGAAAACTTAACCATCATTGTATTGGATAATTATTAATAATGGATGGTAGGAACGACAATCATTGATAATGCACAATAGGAATGACAATCACAACAGATATCTTTTTTTTTTTTTCATCAAGTAGAGTTTCCATTATATAATTATTATGCAGACTAAAATTACACCATCGCTTGGGAAATTTGTTTTTGTTTTTGTTTTTTTTTTCATTTTTAATACATTTACGATTATTTAATATTAAAATAAATTTAATTCAACATGAAATTTTAAAAATATTAAAATTTAAGTTTATTTAGATATAATATTTCATATATTACAAATACATTTTTATTGTTATTTTTTTGTGCTATCTTATGAGTATTATATATTTTATTAATTATTTGATCAAATATATGAATATTTTAATTTATTATAAATTATAAACTCTTTTTTGAAAGAATAACAAAAATAAAAAATATGACAAAACAAATATATTTTGTTAGTATTATTGTTAGAATTTGAATTTTAATCACTGAATTTAAGAGTTCAATGCTACTAACAAATTATTATTATTAACAACAAATATAAATTTTGATGGAATGGTTTTGATTTAATTTTGTTTTTTATGCTTTTATTAATTATTATATTTTTAAGATTTATTTTTTTTAATTGTCTATAAATAATAATAAATAAAAACTTTTATGTATTAATTTTTGTCCCCATTTTCTCCTGTCTCTCCTTTCTTTTTTTTTTTTTTTTTTTACTTTTTCTAAGGTTATAATACTTATTACTCCAACCCATTTATCCTTATTATAATTTGACATGAATTTTTTTTTAAGAAAAGTTTTAAAAGACAAATTATATAGGTAGTTTTTTAAGCAAAAGTGAGTATTTTTTTTGTAATATATTTTTAAATATAAAATATGGTTTATGAAAAATAAAAAAATATGTTCCTAACTTTATTTTATTATTATTATTATTATTTAAGTTTTTTGATAATTTTTCCAATTAAATTGATGTTTCATGGCATCAAATTTAACAAAGGGCTTTAATAATAGAATAGAAATAGAAAGATTCATTTTTATTTTTCATTTTAACCAAAATAAGTTTTATTTTGTGTTTTTTATTGGTCGGAGAGTTTTATTTTATTTTTTTATATTTAAATTGTCAGAATTTGAAGTTTAAAAGAAGAATCTAGAAAAAAAATTATACTATTTTCTTTTATTTTATTTTCACATTTCCTATTTTTAAGATTTAACTAACTAATTAAATTATTTAGAATTACATCTGTATTCCAACATACCCTTCATTCTCCTTCCCCATTCTCCCAGTCGTTCATTTCTTCCGCCGCATTTTCAAGGGCAGTTGGAAACCCAGTCGTGAAATTTTCTTCATCAAATAATAAAGGAAAGAGAAGAATGGCATGGAGAAGCCAATTATCTCGTAATCTCAAAGAACTACGAATTCTGCTTTGCCAAACTTCCCCTTCCAGTGCCCCCGCTAGGTTTATTTCCGTCTCTTCCTCAATCTAAACTCAACATTTATTTTTCTTTTTTTTTAATTTCATATAATTTATGTATATATTTGTAACAGATTATTCGTGGAGAACAATTACAAGGATCTCAAGACTTTAAACCCTAAATTCCCAATCCTCATCCGTGAATGCAGTGGGATTGAGCCCCAGATGTGGGCTAGATATGGTATTTCTTTTTTTTTTTTCTCCGGTGCTTTCATTTCGTTCTTTCGTCTATCTGCAATCTAATGGTGGTCAAGTTATTTCAATCTTACTAACTCAAGATGCTAATATATACTTTCCTTGTACGAAGGGTAGTTTCAATTCTAACTTTTTTAATACATTGAAATCGTAAGCTTCAGGGGAATCTTCGATATGTAATTATGAAATCATAGAAATTTTGAAGGAAGCAATTACTAATGTAATAGCCTTTTGAATACAAAAATGTTGTGCTATTGTCTGTTGTTGTTAAAACACAATAAACTGTTTGGCTGGGACTTGGCTGATGTATGATAAATTTGAGATAATCGGCCTTATTGGCTTTAGTTGGCTTTGGAAAATTAGGGATCTTTAGGGTTGTAGTTGCGGTAGAAAGTAGGATTTTGGGTTTAGTTTGGTTAGACTATTGGTTTGATCACAAAACAGCTGCTGAAAACTAGGTGTGAGGTTCTTGGAATTTCCTGGCAGGTGCTTGATCATGCGAGTTTTGGGTCAATTTGGCTGAGTGACTCTAGGGGGAAATGGCTTGGGAAACATGAAGAATTAAGTTTTGTACACAAGGAATAAGGTTTAGGAGTGAATAAGAGAAGAAAGGGCAGCGGTCGATGATTGTTTGCATGTGCTTATTTGGTTCTGTGAACAGTACACGGCATAGGTGGAGAAATTTAGGAAAGCAATAGAGAAGGAAGACAGGAGCTAGTAACTTAACATCTCTGATCAATAACTCAAATCTCCACCACAAGTCTAATCAGTTTGAAATATGAAGACATATAGATAGAAGTGTAGACTCGCAGAACATAATGGACTAGATCTAGAATTTCTAAAATCATTAGATTTCTACAATTTGCCCAACTCAAACACACCAAAAGACACATGAAACCTTAACAACTTGACTAGAACCAAAAATATGACCCAATGGCTCACAATTAAAGCCCCTTCTGTCAGAAAGGACAATTTGCTAAACTTGAAGAGGAAAACCCAATTAAATAGATAATTTAGTGACCTAAATTGATGGACCAAAAAGACTTCTTTGTTTCTGAAGAGCCCTCCTTATCTGAACAAGCTATTGGTAACCTATCATTGAGGGTCATCTCTTATTAATGGGAAAAAAAATGTGTTTGTCAAATCTAGAATCTTTACATAGTTGTTGCTTTATATGTCTGGTTAAACCGCTTGATTTAAAAGATACTTAAAGATTCTGCAATGTGAATTTGTGGTATACTGGTGAATTCAATTCTCTTTCATCTCTTTGTTGACATTATCCTCCAATGTTGCATGGCATTGTGAGCTTGCCTAGTAAGGTCATTTGGTTGTGGACAGGGGACTCAGAATCAAATTACTTAATTGCTAAATTTATTATTCTGACCATTAACTTTGGTGGTGTTCCAACATGAGGGGGTTTTGACTTATTTGTTTAGTCCAGCCACTAGGCAAATGGAAGTGTTTGTAGAAGGTATTCATGTTAGGCAATTATTTATTGTTGCTTGCTTTATTGTATCTGTTTAGTTTTGTTGCTTATATTGTTTGTCTTCTATTTGGTATGATTGTTGTCTTTGTGCAGTGAGATCATTTGAAACTAGAATTTGCCCACTCGCTATGTGGCTATTTTTGGGAAAAAAAAAAGAAGTTTTTTAAAAGGAAAGAGAAACTTACCTGATTAAAAATAAAATGTGGTAATTTCTTTTAATAAAAAGTGGGTAGTTCTGTTTAGAAAATATGTTTTTATAAAAATAGCAAAACGACATATATATTCTTAATTTTATTTTTGTTATGGTTAGAATATTTTATTTTTATGTAATTTCGGTAACTGAGTTGGTGTTACTTAACTCGTGACACCAAACTCAGTCACTCCCATTATAGATAGTATAGATATTGTTCTTTGAACTGAGAATTACTAAACTAATGCTAGTTGGCAGAAGCCTTTGAGTTCATTGTTATCCATTTTCTTGATAGTGTGCCACCAAGCTCATTTTCTTCCCCATGCCATTTTTTTTTTCCTGAGCTGTGTGGGACGTAAATAATTTGTGGTATTAGATCCATCTGATTCAGTTTGATTTCAATGCAGATATGGGTGTCGAGAGGGGCATTCGCTTGGAAGGTTTTACTGAGCCACAGATTTTGAAGGCACTGCAAGACCTTGTCAAAGCAGGGGCATCCGGCAAAGCCTAATATATTGCTGCTATTGAATCCAATGGTTCGAAATAAGTTGACTGTCTTTCTGGCAAATGTTTCCTTTGATGGTCTTCCTCTATTTTCAGCTATCAAACTGCTATTTTGGGATGGTTGTTGAAAGTTCAGTATATGTGTTATTCTCTTGCCATTTAAGGTTCAAACATGGAAAAAACTTCCCTTGATTAGTACTGTACTGTTATTTTCCTTTTTCCTTTCCCCCTATCGGCAAACATGTTAATTATGAAAATTATAATCAATAAAAATAAATTCAAATCTTCTCTTTTTAAATTAAAAATATGAAGGTCTTACTTTCTAAATATATATATATATATATATTTGTGTTTTAAGAGAAAGAAATCAATAATGTGATTTGGCCGGAAGTCGAATTTTGCTTTAGTGCATAGTCATTTTTAAAAAGTGATATTTAATGGATTTAGAATTTAAATTTTAGTGTTAGTAATTTTTTTCTTATTATTATCAGATATTATTTACTGTGTAAAAAAAAAAATATGACAGGGTCATGCAAAATTTTAATTATTCCATTTTTTCGGTAATTTGATATGCCAATTTAAAAAAAAAAAAACTAATAAATAATAAATAAATAAAAGAATAACAAAACAAAAGAACTGAAGTTAATGGGGTCAAACACAAACCCATTCCTAGATTCACCAAACCCCAATAAAACCTCGACCTGGAAAGCTCGTTTCCATTGTTTTTGGTCTTGGGCCTTAGGTCTACCTCCGAAATCTTTTTTTTTTTTTTAATCTTTACTTTTTCCTTTCCCTAAGACAGGAAAAAAAAAATCCCCCAGAATCATATGTATTGAAACATCAGAGTTCTGTTCTGTCGGTTATAATCTAAGGAAAGAAGAACACTTTCGCTCTTTCCTCGGGCATCGTTTTCTGTAAGTGGGTTATGTTCATGTCAAGTTTTTCTTCTGCTTATATATATTTTTTGAGATTTTCTATGCTCTTCCACATCTAATAGGAATGCTTTAAGGTTTCTTGTCTTCCTTTAAACAGAGTATACAATTTTTTTTTTTTTTTAGATTTGAGAACTTATTTTTTTGGATAAAAATTGCTGAGAACTTAAGGATTGCTTGATTTGGGGTTTTCCTCTTTGTCTCTTTATTCTTTCCCTAGTTGAGAACGGGTGATTGATTGGGTTTGTTGTTTGGTGGGATTTGGTTTGATCATTTCACGTAAGGGTTGAAGTTCAAAGAGGTAGGTTATTCAAATATGGTTTACCGTATAATAAGGGAAAGGCTCTCATTATGAGAGCTGCCTTTGGCCTGAATAAATTATTGCAGTACATATAGAGCTGATGTCAACTAGGGCTGCTTTTGAATGTTAATATCTGGATTGCTTACTTTGTTGTCAAACTTGTATTACAATTCGTTATCCTTAGGTTGTAGCATTGGTTTAGCACAGGCCATGCGTATGTTACTCTATTCCTCTAGAAAACAAGTAATATGGAACTGATATACAGTTATTACTAGGGTTGATTTTGTTCATTGTGTATCCTTGTGTGTGTGGTGTGTGTGTGCATGTCAGTCATAAAACCTTGCTTCAGTCCTTTTTAATTTTAATAAACTGTTTTGCAAACCTTATGACAAAGAAAGGTGCTTTCTGCTGCAAATAAAATTTGAAGACAAATTGATGAATCTGAGGGGTTTCCCTTTTTCCCTTTTTTTACCCTGTTTTCTCGGACATGAGGGTCTTATTTTTAGAACTCAAAAGCTGTTATAATGCTAGAAAAGTAAAAAGAAAAAGTTATAATTTATTAGAATTATGGTTATTTGATCTTAACTTAGAGTAGAGCCAATTTTTCTAGCTCTCGAATAGCCATTAGATCTCTTTATTGTTTCATTGCCACTGATGTTCCATACTTTCCAGATGTAAAATTTGGTTTTTTATCGTGTTTATATTATCTTCTTTTTTGTAGTAAATTAAATCATCATGTTTGTTTCTTTTTGAGACAGATTGATATCTAGAGCATGGGAAAATCTGCTGCAGATGAAAAGATTCTCAGTTACAATGATGTTGTGCTCAGGCGATCAGATTTGGAAATCCTCAGTGGTCGATATTATCTGAATGATCGAATCGTTGAGTTCTATTTCAGTCTCCTATCTTCAAGTCATCCTTCACACGACATCCTATTGGTTCCACCATCGATTTCTTTCTGGATAACTAACTGCCCTGATGTTGGTGATCTCAAAGATTTTTTGGAACCCCTAAAATTGCCTGATAAGAAACTGGTGATTTTTTCTGTCAATAATAACGATGATGTAAGCGCAGCTGAAGGTGGAAGTCACTGGAGCTTACTTGCATATTGCAGAAGTGCTAATGTCTTTGTGCATCATGATAGCAATGGGCAGATGAATAAGAGGCATGCTATGAGGCTGTTTAAATCTCTTGTTGGTTATATTGGTAGCTCCAGTTCAGACTGTAATGCCAAGTATCTAGAATGCATCGGTACACCACAGCAAGTCAATAGTTATGATTGCGGCTTGTACGTTACAGCTACTGCAAGAACTATATGCTGCTGGTATGTAAGTAGTGAAAACAAAGATGCCACTGATTTGTGGTTTTCTGCTGTGAAGGAGCAGGTGACTCCATCAGTGGTCAGTGAGATGAGGAAGGAGATACTGGGGTTGATTAAAGATCTAATGGCCAAGAAATGAGATTTCTTACTTAATTCATCAATTAAAATAAAAAAAATGCGGGTCACCATGCAAGAAGATGAAGTTCATATAACAGATATTGCATGTATTTCAGGTTTCCCTTCAAAATCTGAGCCTTGGTGTATTTTCTGGAAGGGGGCTTAAGCAGGAAGTGATGGCAGTCATATGCATGCCGATGTGATTCATTTGTTTTTTGTTGTTAAATATATATATTTGCAGGATATATATATATATATATATATATATTTATACTCTGTTTTTGTGATAAAAATTTTTTGTATCACTCAGTGTTCTCCGTTAAGGGAAACTTCCAAAATCAGATCCAATTGAATAACCAGGGTAATTAACCATATCATTTATCAACTAAAACAAGAACTATAATAAATCCAGTTACCCATCTGTTTATGCAGCTCAGCACAGGTTGAGGTAGCTACTACTCACAAAGCTAGGCTGCCCTCCATCACCTTCTACTCGAATTCCTGCCATGCTTGCTATGATCAAGGAAGCCATTGTGTAGCAGATCAAGACTCGAGCTATTAGCTGGTGCGGGTTTGTGACGCTTGCACATGGTATCTTGCAAGAACAGTAGCACCCTAGAAGCAAAATTGTGGTACAGCACTTTCAAAAATAGACATATATAGCGTTGTGATCAGAATTGACAAAATATTAGTACTGCAAGTAACATCGATGGAAGATTGCAATCCAAATTGAACAAACAGAAAAACAATTCTCATTAAATGAAACTCTTTGATTAAGTATATGATCACGTTATACACTGAATGCTTCTTTCGTACATCTGAAAGTTCATTGACTCGAGTAGGGTGACGGCTCTCTTCTAACTGTTGTCTCTTTAAGATTGAACTTAAACGATCTTTAAGAAAAAGCCTCAAATTTTATTCGCTGGTACGTTTCATTTGGAGATTTTTAGAATGATGTTAATTTCCAATGTACTACAGATAATGGATACTAAATATCAACATGAAGAACTGAAATAAGAAGTAAAGAGGATGATCACCAAAGACGGGGTTGAGGACCCTAAGACCGAGAAATTGTCCTTAATTGATGCAGTCCAAAGTTTAGGGAACTTATCACTTTGGGAGAGAGATAGAAGTTGCATATTAGGTAAAAATATATCATGACTTCATCAGTGATAATGATATTTACCTTGTGGCTAAGACAACGAAAAAAAAAGTTAATTTCCTGTGGAAATAGTGTGGACATGTTCACTATTGTAAGAAATATATCTTTCAAGATTTTTTTTAAATACAGTTTGAGAAAAAGAGATCATATCGCTTCGGGAATTGACATCTACATGAAGCAATATGGTGTTTCGGAGCAAGAAGCATGCAAGAGATGAATCAAACAAGCAAGTTGAGAATGCTTTGAAGGATATAAACCAGGTGTTCCTCAGACCCGTAGCTGTACCGGTGCTTGTCTTGATGTGCAATCTCAATATGGCTCCGTTGATGGACCACCTTTACAAGGAACATAATGATCCCTATACACACATTGGAAAAGCTGCGAGGGATGGAGTCCAGGCATTACTTATAGATGCAATTCCAGTTTGAGGTTTCCATACATCAATCTGTGAAGAAACTCAAGCAGGATTTCAATTTTTACTTTTGAAATTGAAAATTATTTATCTTCTGAAATTTATTTTAATGCAATTCAAGATTTCTGCATTGCCTTTTTCTTCCCTGGAACACCTAGGGGAAGCGGGTGATTACCAACATTTGGAGGAGATGAGTTTTCAATGATCTGAACCTCAACCCTCTAATTGACAATTGCTTACTGGAAATCCAAGAGCTCAGAAAATAATTCCTTCAATAAAATCTATGGAAACACTAAGGAAAGAAAATAGAAAATTTTATGAGGTGGGAAATTCAAAGAGCAAAGCCCCAAAGGATCAATAACTGATTCATATATCAAGCTTGTGTCGATTGGATAGCTCCCTAGTACTCGTAAAAATGTTGCAAACTCCTGCAAATGAATAACATTGTTTGATGTTAACATCTATAATCTTGAAAGGTAATAGATGATCGATGTAGAGGGAAAGTAGGTGAGAAGCAACCTTTAGATGTCTGACAGCATTTGTTGCCCTTTGATCAGCCATTGATGCTTCAAAGTCCGCATAGAAAATGTAATCGAAGTAACTACCATGAAAACATACACAAGATCAGGCCAAAATATGTTCAAATTTACCTCAGCCAAGTTGATAGCTAGATAAAGTAAAAGTTCTGAAATTAATGTTCAAATTTAATCATGTTGGAAACAAGTAAACAACTTATTTCACTGGATTATGTGTATATATATACCCATTGGCTTTACTATTATTATCTGTTGATGCTTGTAAAGGTTGGTTCCTATAGGGACGACTTTCGATCTGGTCCAAAAAAAAAAAAAAGATGATATCAATTACAACATAATTAAAGAGCATATTAAAGAAGAGATTTGACAATTGCATATAGATATACTTACCTTTAAAATGTCGATTTGTTGCAAGGTGAAAATAGGAAGTGCCTCGGAAAGCATACTGGGACCCTCCTTTAATGAGAAAACTATAGGTGTCTACAATTTTTCTTTAAAAATAGGAGATTGCTAATAAATCAAATCTATATTTGAACTCTCACCTCACAACTAATTAAACTGTTAGGTTTGAATGAATGATTTTCTAATGGTATTAGAACCTCTTTATTGACCAACAAAGATTGGCTTAATTGGTAAGTATAGTAAATGATCTTGAGTTTGAGTCTTATACACAAACCCCTTTTAGGGCTAATTTTAAATGTCCATAATTATGTGGATGCAAAAATATTCAAGGCTATTGCTTCATTTGGATATTCAAATGAAATCTACATTTGGAAGAATAATTAAATTAATTTCAGTGAAATTGATCACTATAATAATGAGATTAAATTTACAATGATAAAATTAAAATTAATCATGTAATATTGTGTCACTCAAAAAAAACAATAGGGACATAAAAAGGATATAATTTTTATATTTAAAAAAGGCATATAATTATCAATCACATAATTATAAATAGAAGGGGAAAAAAAAAAAAAAAGATAATAGTAAAAATAGTGTGATCCAATGACATCACTGTTAGTCTATTGAATGCTTAATATTTTATCCTAGATATGATTATGATAAATCTCCATTCACATTGCACCAATTTTGCCAAACACCTTGAGACAGCTAGATTGAGCCAAAAAGTTAACCAATCGCACCGTACAAGTGTCCAAACATAACCTTACAATGCCTTGACTTACGCAACTTGGCTGCCCTCTTCTAAAGCCTAAAATTTAGCCCTAAGGAATCGGTATGAGCTATGCTTGTTAACACTTTCAGCCTAGTAATGGCCTTGTCCATGGCCACCTAGCAAGTTTAAGTTGTTAGCTAGCCTTAGCGGAGTTGACTTTTCGTAATAAGTATTACTAATCAACGCATGCAATGTGGTATTGAAAAACAATGAACAGCATATGCAGTTTTTCCGTCACTGAAGTTCGGACCTTGAACGGTCTATCGGTGCCAGGACTAAGGGGTTCCCTGGCTAGCACCAGAAATCGAGTTACGTTGCTGCAATCATCCTGCCGAAATGCAATGTTATTAAAGAAAAAGAATACTTGAGAGTTGTGTATCTAAATGTTCAGAAGTACCAAGCCAATATGAAGATTGTTTACCGTGTAAACCTGAATATTTCGAGCAAGAATGTTCAGACCATACATCACTGCTGCTGATGTACTAGCAATTGCTGCTGTATCTTTTACTTTTTGGACAGCCACTTGCTAAATGTTTAGAATGATAGATCACATATCAAATAATCAGTTTCTCAACCAAACTTTTGTGGTGGGACTTGGGAAGAACTCTCACCGGACCTGAAGTGCAATTTTACGACTGAAACCTTAGGAATCTAGTCTTAAAGTGATATGCCTGGTGTGATGGAAGTATGAAATGAAGCACAAGACCTACCTTTGCTGCAACAGCAGTGTTATCCACTGCTTCTCCGACCAATCCCAACTCTGTCAAGGTCTTCTCACACTGAGAAAAAGCCTGAAACATGGCGTATCATTTCAATTAATTTTAATGGACGAGAGGAAAACTTTAAGTTTTAACACTATTTATATATATATCGTACCTGAGGATGGCTAAGAACCCTTTTCAAATCTTCAAGTTTAATACCATTGTTGGCTAGCAAGCAATGGGCAACAGCAAGTTTCACTTCCCCCACGATATGCAAATTGTGGCGGAGCAACAGGTCGTAATTTCTATGGATGCTACCACCCAAAGAATTCTAAATGGGTAAAACTGCCCTGTCCACAAGCGACCTTTCAACGGCCTACATAAAAAAAACACCAATGGTATATTAATCAATTAGGAAAACAAAAATATAATCACGTATAGAAAACCTTGAAAATGGTGATAAAAAGGTGGCTGCTAGAAACTTTGAACAACAAGCACAAAGACCATTATCCAAATTGAGCAATTAACTCCATTAAATACATTAAATATTCAATTTAAAATCCATTAATAATAAATAAAAAGATTTTTCTTAAGCAAAATATTCAAATCCAATTAAAGATGACTATAGTATAGATGTGATAAGAGACTAAGCACGTTTCTGCGCCCCATTTGACAACATATATATATATATATATATATATATATATGGGTTTTAGCAGAAAGAAATAAAAGGGTTCAAGAAAAAGTAATCACTTCAAAAGCTGTATCAAATTGTTGGCAAGGAATAATTTCAAAATTGGGATATGCTTTCTCTGCAGCTGATTCACTATATGCGCCACGAATTCCCTATAAAAAAAATTAATAAATCAATTTGTTACTTTAAAATAAACTAGTTGTTGATTCCCCCTTCATGGGAGTTATCAACTGATAATAACATTAACTAATTAAATTATGAATACTAAATCAAATAATGAAAATAAAATTTACATATATTGATTAATTTCAAATAAAATTTTTTTAACTATATACATTATATATATTTTCACACTTTCTCTTTTTTTTTTTTTTTTTTCTTCTAATTTTCCCCTCTTTCCTCCAAATCTCTAGAAATTCTATCCCTCCAGATCTCTAGAAGGAAATTTACATTTTTTTTTATATAAAAGAAATTTAAGATAGGAAAAGAATTACAAGTGCTTAAATTATATTCTAAAGAGTCAAATATGACCCAAATTTTAATTTGAAATATAAAAAATAACCCCAAAATAAATGCCAAACCATTCAGCCTCTCCCCAACCCATCCCA